GACACTAACACAGGTGATGTTTCCTCTGAATAGCTTTCCTTATGTAACCACACTGTTAAAAGATTTTGTAAAAATGATGTGATATGTATGGCTTTTCTACAGATCCTAGGCAGTGAGGATGAAACAGTATCGTAGGACTAGAGTATTACATTTTAGCTGCATATACTTTCCAATCTAAAAGAGATGTTACAATACTGACAACAAAAAACGTATAGCAAAGTTAGTCTTTTCAGTGATACCATTCTCAAGCTGTACATTAGCATACAAATATTATATTCACATAGTAACAAAAAGGAATTAATATAACGTTTTGTTGACGTGCTTGTAGTTCTCTGTCGTTTTTGATCGAACAAATTTTTTGACCTCTGTTTGAAGCGATAAGTATGAAGCTCGAGTCTCAGTGGGAACAGCATCACCCACTGGGATGCAGGTATATCCAACTGACGAGTCCGAAATCGGACGAAACTCGCGTTCTGGACTCTTCTGCTAGCTACGACCAAGTAAATTACCGTAGTAAAGGAATGTTTCATGAAATATTTTGAACGAATTTCACAACTGATTGTGAATCAGGAGATCGGAAAAAAGAACTACGTAGTGTTTGAAATAGTAATGAGAAGAAGACTTATCAAAACCGAAGTAATACTTGGTTACTAAGTTAAATGTTGTAACACGATGAACGTAAAGAGAAGTCTGAATTATAGGAGTGGAGGAATGTAATGTGTGAGAGAACCTGAATGAAAAGATTTTTGAAGTTAAAAGTCTTCTTATAGGTCATATCAATTGCATCTCAAGTGACTGGACACATTTATTACTACATAATTCTTTCTTCTGATCTCCTGGTTCATAATCAGATGTGAATCTCGTTCAAAATATTCCATGAGATATTCCTTTTCTCTTACTATGTGAGTGGAATATTTATATACCCTAACAACTCAGCACTGGACCGGGAACCCAATAGTCGCTGGCTCAAGCCCCGCTGCGGTCCTTATTTTCATTTCACCCTCAGTCACCACCCAGTATCAATTATAGTCTGCAAAACCATGACTGCCTGAGATAGACAAAATGATAATGTTATATGGATACTTTGCAGTTCCTCAAAGTTGTACGTAAAAGACTAATGGATGTGTGAGATTTGGAATTTCTAAAACGTTGACAAATCATACTCAACTGATTCTCAATAAAACATCTAGTCGTTTCAGATGACTTGGTTAATTTTTATGAATATTTTCTCCAGCTATATCCCTCTCTGTTAGATTATATTCTCTGCGGCCTTTTGAAATTAACTATGGAAACTGAAACATCACATATATTTGCGCTCAGTCTCACGAGGATTGATATCAGCATTAATTTAACTGTATAATGAATGACGTATGCATAATAACAGTGGTCAAGCAGTTTGACTTTAAGTTACAAGTATCAAACAAGAACAACGACAACTGATACTCGTTGTACAAGAGGTGGCTCTCATGTCTCAGTGACCTAGTTGATAACACTTTAGAGTTTGAAGCGGTTAGTTTTGGATTAGCGTCTAAGTGGAAACAGCATCACTCCCTAAGGTGCACGCACATCCAAGTGGCAAGTCCAAAATAGGACGAAACACGCATTTTGAAGTCCACTGCTAGGCACCAAGTAGACTATAATATAATGTAGTATCGATGCATCTGTATAACAGCCCATCTGCCAACAGCAGACGTTGAGCTATTCGACCCTGTATAGCATCACACGTATCAATAAAAATTAATGTATGACTGCATTACATTCAAAAATATATAACTGAGATATAAATGATGTCCTTCAATTTTTTCTCATTGACTAAAGTAAATTATAACTAGGTGATCTTTTCTTAACGCTAGGCAGAAAGAGTAAACGCGATCACTAAAATTATTAGTATTATTCTGCCTACAATACGAAACGAAAATGAAATACAAGAATGTGATTCAGGAAAGACCAAATTTCCATAGCTATTGTGATAAGCCTTTGAAACTATGCTGAATGCAATTGTTCTTCTATTATTCAAACTGCAGACAACATTTAAGATTTTGGAGGTTGGTAGCAATTATCAACTGAATGAATACCCCGCCAACATTATGATTCACACCAAATAGTTATTACCATGGTTTCAAATGACAGTTATAAATTTATTTAGCTCAAGTGTACTAAGGCACTGAAAAAAGTGATAAATTACTGTTAATTTTTGACAGGTCTTTCGGAGCTGAAATTGAACTAAAATTACTGTTAGCAAAGAAAGGCAGATAAATCTAACCTTTAGTGACAAATGAAAGGAAATTAAGTTATAAACTGTACATTTGAAAATTTATGAATTATCGGGAAATAAGTTTAAGGGATGTGAATATTGAATTGCCGTCATCGAGATGGTGCAAAGGCATGAAGAATGCTGTGTGAATACTGGTTTCCTTCTGAATGCATACATTCAGAGCGTACATTTGCAGGACAGATATATGTGAAACAATTAGTTTCTTTAGTAAATTTCGATAACGCTATTAGAAGAAGAAGATTATCTGAATAATCTGTGTAGTGTATTTGCGCAATACATTTCGAACAATCTGATCACGCATTTACTTGTCAAGTCAATTTATATATGAAAATTAAAGGTCAATTATAGTGAAAATGAAAAGGTTGTGACACTAGTCTCTGTGAGATAAACAAACAAGGATTACCAAGGTAAATTAAGTGAAATAACAAATTATTTTTGTACACATAACGGTGGCTCAAGTTTATGAATGGCTAATGCTTCGCCAAGTTTCAGTATGCGCCCTGACTGTTCCTATATAATATCTTAAATACCATTTCGATGATATGTTTTTCCATGGATGAGGATGTGTGGCTGTCACTCACACTTATCAAAGTTTGTGTGTTAAGCTGTTTTTCAAGCCATTTAAATGCGTTCGTCCATCCTAAATCTTTAAATATCCAGACATTTTCATGCACACCTAATCTGTTTCAGCATTTAAATAAGTTGATGGTTAGACTTTCTGAAAGCAACATTTCCATCATAGTCTTCTAGTATGATACAAGTGTGCACGATATCACGATTTTGCTTGAGGTAATTTAATGAAATTTATCCGTTTAATGCCATTTTAATTCTCTAGTAAATTGGATATGATTTCTGATCAGACACGAGTTATATCGAATAGAAATAAATTTCACTCAGTTGAGAAATGGAATGGCATTAGAGTGGTGTTGACTAGTTGCCATGTACCCTTTTTGCTTTGCCTTTTAAAGTTACTGACAATTTAATTCACCATGTATTCGTTAAGAATCTGTCTAGATATTAATTTAGCAGTCACTTTTGTTAAGATCCTGTATCACAGGCAATCGAATGAAAGGTTCACACAAATGTTACTAACCACTATATTTATAAACATTCGGTAACAAGTTGAATAAAAAAAGATGTTCGGATCTCCATGAATGGAAGGATGAAGAGGGCAAATCTATAAAAGAAGTGATTGGGTTTTAAAAATATCGCTGTATACCAGTCAACACAACTACTATATCTTTAAGTTATTACTTACAAATTTGATAAAAAGACTTTAGAAATGAACGGGTTTTGTTTTACATTGTTGTTGATAACTAAAATTGAGTGTTAGATAGCAGTAATATATACTGACCAGCAGTAAGATTCGAAACGTGCTTTTCGTCCTATTTGGGATTTATTGGATAAGTGTGAATGTCTTATGTTTTCCAAGGGCTGAACATCATTAATCAGCACTGTGAATCCCAAAGTGATTGATGCTGGGTTCAAGTATCAGTGGGAACAGTGTCACGAAGGTAGGTATCACCAATTCAAGGGTCTCAAATGAAACAAAAAGCGTGTTTAAAATTTCACGGTAACCTTTATCCATAACCACTGCTAAAGTAGAAAAGTGAGATATCTGCACAGATGCATATATGTGAGCAGTGGTCATTCATTTCGTTCAAGTCAACGAAAAGCATGAAACTGGAAGGCAAGGCATAAATGTGTGCTGTTCGTAAGAATAGTAAGTTGCCAGCTAATAATTGAACTATCGAACAAAATTTGTACTGAAACGCAAGGCAAGGGAACTTAGACAAACTTCACTGTGGGTAACTGAGCTGTCGATCAGACTCTTTACGTAACTGATCAATTACCTCTCCACCTGCGTAATAATTGGATCTCAGTATCAACAGAATAGCATTTCAGAAACAACTACACTTTCCTTGAATGTATGATAATGTTGTAAACAAATTTATCCAAGCAGCTTAAAAGAAATATTTTAAGCGATTATGATAAAAGTTGACCATTATGACATTTGAATCGAAGGTTTTTGATTATCTACTACTGTTATATTGCAAAATCTGTTAAAACACCCATCAGCTAATAGGTTCGATTAGTACCGTTTTCATCCTTAACTATGACTGTCAGGTTTCCAGTGGACATCGTCAAACCTTATCACATTTGAGAGGTTTGGGTACCTAAAATAAATGCTTATCCTTTCAAAGTTTAGCTTAATTGGCAGACTTAAATTTTTTTCAGAAGGTTGTGATAAAAGTATTCCGACTTTAATTATGGAAAATCAGGACTAATGAAATATGTTTTCAGAAGACTACAAAGAGATACCTATCAGGATTTTATGTCCGTGCGCTTTCAGCGAGCTCAGATGAATTTTATTGTCTGTAGATAGTGTAATCACAACGAGAATAATGAACAACAGAAGTTTATAAATGTTGTGATATGAAGATCAATTTGTCAACAACAGAGGTCAGTTTTTTGTAAAAATTATCGGAACCTGGTCGATAGACGTGTCTTCTGACTTAGAATTTCTCAAGAGTGTTTGGTGCAATCTTAACTAACATACTATTATAAGAGATAGACAATAATAGTTTTTCGAGGTAGCTTTATTTAACCGAGTTCGGAAAATGAGCAGCACCAGTTTATGTTTGCTATCAAAGTGAAAGTATTTTGTCATTGTATTAATAACGTATATCTTATTATTACTATTATTTTCTCTATACTTCTTTAGTCTATTCGTAATGAAGAGTTAAGTCGGGAGCTACTCCACCAGACAGTAGAACAAAAATCTGTTCTCACATTTCTGGCTAGTAAAAATTCTAACAAAATGAAAGAATTGCCTAGATTTGAGAAAGAATTGAATCGTGTGGAAGTAATGCTCAGTGGTGAATCAACAACAAACGGAAAAGAGAAGTTTAAGGCATATGTAAGTTGTAGATTACACTCGTGTATGAACATATGTTTGTGTTACTGCATGTGTTCTAACAGAAATATTGACTAATATACCTCCACATTTTCTAGGTAAAATGTACCGGCAATTAACTTCTCACTTATAAGATTTTAAACAGTCTGAAATTTCGTGAACACAACATTTATGACTGCATTCGACAGGTTATCACAAACTGAACAGTGTTCTCTGGAAAATGTGTTTAAGCTTACTCAGGAAACATGAGAATTTCGGCTTCACGTGGTACTGCTTAGTCACTAGGCTGCTATCGTCGGCACTGAGCTAAAGAGTGTATTGGAATCAGACTGACAAAATAAATAGGTGAAAGATTAGTGAATAGCAGACTGCTTGTTACTGAACTCTTCGGTGAACGACGGATTTCCCAAAGAATAAATTAGATTTCTTCCTAGAAAGATAATCAGTATCACAGTAAATAGTGTAACTACATTTAGAAAAGTTAATAATTCTGTCATTTATGCGCTCAAAACGTTTAATGCAGATTTCAGTCTTCTCTTATCACGAGAAAATATCTAACAAAAAACACCTATCATCTACTGTCAGATAAAAGATTATGTTTAACAAACGATAAAATGTAGTTGCATGTGATATCTCATGCCATTTACAGGTAAGGTAACACATTTTTTATGAAGTAACACAACTCCATACCAAACTGAGAGATAGTCAATGTCAAAAAGCACTAGTTTTATCTCTGACATTCGCTGCAGATATTATAATTCAGACACGCAGAAAGATCTTAACGTTTTGCTATCGACTATAATTTAGGCTAGAAAATTCTTCGATATTCGTTGACCTCACAAATAATATACAAATAAGCAGTGACAGAAAACAAAAGAGCCTCCTTCAAGGTTTATCAAACGTTACGGGATAAAATAATATCGCGTTTTCATCTTTTACATAGATCTTTCACTCATAAAGATTTGCAGCCAGAGAAAAGTTTCACTAACCTGTATAATGTTAAAAGATACAAAACAACTCATTTCAAGTGAGTCTGATTCAGTGGGAATTAAATTTCCTGCTTCTAAAGATTTTTAGCTTCTAGACTGCTATATTAACCAATTCCTAAGGACTTGGATATGCTCAACATTTTGTAGGTACTTACCTGAACGGCCTAAAAGTTATGACTTGTTGAAGCGTTTCATGGCATAATGACCACGTTACCGTTTTATCATTAGGTTTGGATCAGATTTGTGAAGGGAAGTAAATGTATGACAGATTGTTCTAGCTTTTCGACTTCTGTCAGTGTGGTATATTCTACGACCAATAACTTATTTCGTCTGTGAAAACACCTTTTTTCACTCAACTTGGCTGAGTTGACAGACTGAAAAATTCAGCTCGTCGATTTACTCTGAATTTATAGTTTTATTTGAAGATTCATTTTCTTCACGCATTTACTCCCTCAAACAGATGTATATGAGAATGGCGAAATTTCATGGTCCATTTCGTTTCTTATTATACTATGTAAACTAAAGTATTTATCGAATCAAAATAACTGATAAGTTTACATATCTGAAGGGGTTGTGTTAATAAAAGACCCTGGTGATGTAGACTAGTCAAGAAAATGTTCAAATGCATTTACGAGTAGTAAGATTTATAAGACGCAGAGTCAAGAAAGGCACAGATTGCGATTCCCCGTCAAAATCTGATAGGTTTGATTTTGAACAAATAAAGAATTGTCAGTGAGGATAAATATTTTAAAGGTTGGATGATAAAAACGTCAAGTGCTTCATCATCATCATCATTATCAACATAGGACCAGGCATTACTGCCTAACGGTCCGAGTTGCCACACCTCATATCAGCACATCAAGTAAAAAGGTAGTGAGGTGAAAGATGAAGATAAGTGAATGCAGTCAAAAGAAATATAAAGTACGAAAAGAAAAGAAAGAGGAGTGACAAAATGGTGAGATTCGGTATAGCGTTGTTAAGATGAGGATAATGTGTGTATACATCTGCGCCACTGACTTCGGTTCTGAGCCATATCACATAGGGTCTCCAACCACTGGTTCCTCTTGTCCCGCGGACCCCAACCACCTAGTCTGCATCGTCCTACATGGCTTAAACCAACAGTCAGAGACTTCATACATTGGTGCCATGTTTTAGTCTGGCCACCTCGGGCCTTTTTCCTGCCTGGACCCACCTCAGCCAACATTGTGTGACGAGGCAATCGGTGACTGGGCATACGTAGTACGTGTCCCCGTCTAGTGCTTACTGTGGTTAAGTTATGTCATCTGGTTAGTGTCGATTCCTGACAAAGAATATAAAGTTAAATGTGGTTCTCCTGAACTAACTAAGCATAGAAAACCAAATAAAACTCAAGTAATAGAAAAACATGGTTAAAGCAATTCCTAAGCAAATGACAAAAACTAGAAATGCCAAATAACCTATTGGCAAATATAACTTTTTAAAGATGAAATGCAAAGGTTCAGAGAGGTGGATAACTAGGTTTTTTAGACAAAATAACTTCAGTTATTCAATGAAGTCAGATTTTAATGAAACAAATGTTTTCATCTTGCTATTCCTCTTCATCGAATTTCGTTAGCAGGACCAGCTTTGGATTGAAGTAGGTTAGTCATTAACACTAATTAGTTACAGGATAATACTCAGTATCATACGGTTTAGTCCTTATCGAGAACTGGATCCCATAATTCACATCGACAAAGTGATTGTAGAACTAAGTGACCCATCCCATATTCTGTTTTTGTATTATCTGTATCAAAACATCTTGTTGGCAAAGTTCGCGAAGTCAACTTTTAATGTTTCGCTTGCGAATTTCTGTTTGCATAAGTTGAGCACTGGTCAAATGGTAGCAAGCATGAACAAAAAAAAACAGTTCTTATACTCGATTTTAGTAGATTCCCGATATACTTCAATCCCTCAAAGTATGTGTGCAACCACCGGCTGAAGTGTTTAAATCAACAGTTAATCTACTACTCTATATGAAGATAACTTTTATTCGATATTTCTTGAATACGTAGTCCTCAGAATAAACGTTTAGTCGATAGATGGATGTAAGATCATAGATCATACCATATTGTCACCGATTAGTTACGGGTCAATTCAGTTAGTGTTGTGTGTTAATTGATTTCAAAGTAGCCTTTATCACTGACTGATATCACTTAGACAGCAACCGAACAAGTGGGAGCATTAGGTAGTTGGTTTAGGGCTCGTAAAGAGGGACACCTAAAACTTAGTGAAAGAAAGGGACCGAAAGACATCAGGTCTGATGAATAGCAAGTCACCATTCAGTTAGTGGGTTAGGGTCTAGCGGTCTATACTTGCCCGTGTCCATGCCGTCAACCACGGCTAATTAACACACCTGTCATAACTGGTACAAAAACTCTTAACTTCTCACCCAAATTCAAAGAATTCACTTCAGTAGTGAGTGATTGAAAGTTCATATTAATAAAAATATCAGTATGTATGACCTACCGCATGAAATCTACAGACAACATTAAATACTATTTGGAGACTTATGTATTCGAGTATCATATCACCAGTCTACAATACCGTATAATCTCACCTGAGTGCTTACCACTGGAAACTTCTCAAGTTCTCAGGCGAATGATTGTAAAACTGTGTAACTGTGACAAACTTTAACACGTAAATCATTATCAATCAATTACTTGGATATATACGGTATATAGAAATGAGCCCTATGGGTAAGAAGTATCTCATTATTCTGCGACAGGTGAATTTGCTAACGGTTATCCATTATTCATGGGTTCAGAAGCACTCAGTGAAATGATGAGTGAGAATGGAGAGCTGTTTGCAGATTTCTGCGCATTCAACGATTTGGTGATTGGAGGCGAAGCAGTGTATACAAATACAAGGATATTCACAAGCGACATAGATTTCACCAGACACCAAGACACACTAAAAATCAGATCGACTTCATCTCAGTGTGAAGAAATTGAAGGCGCAGTCTACTGAACACAAGATCAGATGAAGAACGGGAGCAGATGTACGTTCACATCAATGACTATCACTCAAAGTCAAGTTGAAAGCCGTCAAAGAAGTTGGTGATAGACCACAGTTCAATTTCAACACCCAGAACAGAAACTGAGGCACGAAACTACAAAGGACATCTTTACGTGAGTCATCAGAACAAAATGTGAGACATTGAGCAACATCCCTGAAGGAACCTGTGTGGCAGAACACTGAAACTCTGTGAAAGCGACATGGAAGGAAACCTGCATAACCGTGTTAGGAAGGCAGAAGAAGACGCGAGACAAGGAATGGATCTCGACGGACACCTGGAAGCTGATAGAGTAGTGAGTGGAGGATGGTAAAGCAGAAGATGAATCAGTGGAGTGCAGGGCAAGGATGAACAACGAAAAGACGAACTGAGTACAACGTGTAAAGCACTGGACAGAGAAGTGAAGAGAAGTGTGCGCAAAGACAAAATACACTTCTTCAAAACACTGGCAAGTGAAGCAGAACAGGCCGCAGGTAGGAGAGACAGAGACCTGACAACACTGTATCAAATAACCAGGTTACTATCCAGAAAGAGATCAATGCAGCTGCAACCAATGAAAGAGAGTGAAGGGAAGCTAGTTATAAAAGAGGAGAAACTAAGGGAACGATAGGCTGAACAATTCAAAAGCCTCATGAATCCAGCACCACCACTACCACCATCTTAAAAACTCGTCCAGAAACACCAGCATCAACGGCAGAACTACCAGCGAAAACTTACACTCCGACATAAGCAGAAGTGAAGTCGTGAACACCATAAAGCTACTGAAATCTGACAAGCAGCAGCGCAACATTGAATTCCTCCAGAAACACTGAAAACAGACTCAGAGACATCAACATCGCAAATACTCACACCACTACTACATACGGTTTGGAAGGAATGCATGACGTGTACCTGCCGATTGACTGGAAGAAGGGCTACGCTGTCAAAATCCTAAGGAACGGAGACCTAAGTCACTGCAAGAACTGTCACGCAATCATGATACACTCCTGTCCACCCAAAGCATAATATCAAACCACATTATCCTGGAGAGACTAAAGGATGCGCCAAATTCAAAATTACGGCCGGAACACGCTGACTGGTTGGCTGGCTTCAGGAAGAACAAATCATGTGCGGATCAAACTAAAACACCACGCTACCCATCATCATCATAGAACAGGGTATAGAATGGCAGTCAACTCAACTCAATCTCAGCTTCATCCACTCTGAAAAAGCACTCGATAGCGTCGACCGAGAAGTAATTTGGCAGGCAACTGCTTCAACACTACGGATTTAGTGCCACAAACCATCATCAACCTCATTCAACAGCTTTATGCTATATGATACTACATGCCAATTGAGTCACAATGGAAAGCTCAGAGATGGCTTTGAAGTGAAGACAGGAGTAAGACAAGGTTGCCGTCTACTATCACCGATGATCTTCCTGATTGTGGTCGACTGGATCATGCAGCAAACCGTGAGGAGTGAGAAGATGGACATAGTCTGTTCGACCGATGAAAAGACCGAAGAAGAATATTTGGATTTCGCCGCCGATGGTGATGATGATGATGATGCTGATGATTTATGTCCAATGTCTTGTCGCACAAACTCGAAGATCAACAGGCGAAAACTAACAAGTTGACAGAAGAGGCAGGACAGCGAAGACGGCACTTCAAGTGAATGTAGAGAAGACGGTGGTGATGAGGATACCCAACCAACAACAACCAGCACCAACCACCATCATCAGGAGAAACGTAGAGGAAGTTGTCTCTCTCACCTACTCATGCAGGGCAGCATCGTTTCAACTACAGGCAGTGGCACAGGCACAGACGATGATGTCGAATCCAGGATCGGAAACACAGGAAGACAGACACACCTTCATTAATCTGAAATCAGTGTGGAGATCTACTGCCCTCCACTGCACTGCCCTCCACTGAACTGCACTACACTACACTACACTCAGCATAAAGCCTGAACAACATCGGATTGTCAACACCAATGTCAGTCAAGTCAGTGCTTGTATGTGATGGTTGAGAGACTTTGTGCATCACGAAAAGCATTTCCAACAATCTACAGACATTGATCACTAGCTGCCGCCTACTCTCACTCGATACTGACACTGAAGATCAGATGGCCAGAGTAGTAATAATAAGCAACAAGGAATTCTGACTGGCTGCTGACTGGCTGGCTGGCTGACTGGCTGGCTGACTGACTGGCTGACTAGCTGGCTGTCAACGAAACAACCGAGAAGCCATCCATGAGTCAAGAAATATGCAGAGTGGAGTGGAGATGGATTTGACTGGGGATACACTGAGTATTCCGATTGGTGACATCACGCGTCAGACTGTTGTGTGGAATCGGAAGGGTAAAGGAGGATTTTTGGGTGTGAGGTGAGGGTGATATTGAGGAGATGGTGTGAGGAAGGAATGAAATTTTGTTTGGAGTGGTGGAGCGAGTTTGAAGAACGTGTAAGGTAGAGAGTGCAATGGAGGCGTGCTACTGGAGCCCTATGTTCCACTAGGAACGCAAGAGAAAAATAATTTTATTGACTATTCTTTCATATGATCATAATCTAGTAGCCGAAATCAAGATATTCTTTAGAACTATTTGCTGCAGCCTGTGATTTCAAGCAATCCTAATATAATTTCACTTTTGTTTATTAATTGATTCATTTTAGTATGTGGGGTGGAAAAATTCTGTAGCGGAAATGAATTTTGTATACTCAGTAATCTGATAATGATTCTGCCTTTTGAGATCATGTAGAAATAGTGTTATTTTCTATCCTGAGAATCTTTCAGAAAGCGTAATTGCAACTATCTTTTTAAGAGCGAGCGATGTATACAACCGAATAATAATATCAATAGAGATAGCTAAGAATAATCAATGTGTCTTTTTTATGATAGTTTACTTGGTTGTGGCCAGCAATGATATCCAGGAAATGAGTTTCATCTTATTTGGGATGCACCTACACCCTAGTGGGTGTGGCTCTTTTATGTTTGATTAAGGTCAGTCATTTGCTAATTTTGAGCTATTACAATTCAAATAGCTCAGTAATAGGCTTGTCAGCTACAGAGCTAGATAATGCGTTAGAACTACTACGAGAATAGTCAAATTAACTAGTCCTTACTAATCAGACCGATTGTTTTCAGATCCATCTTATCAAGCATGAGTACTATGGGCATTTCCTATTAGAGTTCACTTCTGAAAAATGACGTGACTTCATTTTTATATCAATACCTACAGAAGCGTGAGAAAGTTTTCCCAGATAGCCAGTTCAAAAATGCAGAAACAAAAAATGACCAACAATTATGGTTTAAAAAATAATGATTATAGGGAGAGGATAAGCAAAAATAGGCAAACTTTTTGATATTATGTATTTTTAATTCTTCAACTTTTCGTTGTTCCCATAACGAAGGTCATATTAGACCTAAAATGTTTGAATTAATTAAAATATACTGAGTTTCTCGCAAACATGACCTATATCTAAGCTATTTTCTAAAGTTTTTATTGTATAGATACTAGGAAGCAATAACAGTCGCCTCAGGAGCAATTATTTATCCTATGTACTTTTTCTTAGATTGCTTATCTGAAAGAAGCTGTTTCCAGAGAGTTACGAATCACAAAGGCATCGTTAAACTCACTAATTGACAATGATTGCGAATAATATAAATATCTCCATTTTCAGTCCTGAGTACATACTTTCAACTAGTGTTATCGCAGATGCAATACATATTTTTTTACGCTACTCATTAACTTCTGGATCGTTTATTTTACTACTAATGTAACTAATTTGTGATATCTTTCGTTGACAGTATGTCACTAAGTTTGAAAACATTTAAAAACACTTGGGCAGGGATGACAGTTGTGTTTATTGAACCGAAAAAGTTCAGTAGTAATATTTATTTGTGCACTAAATAATGTGAATCTTGGCAGAGATATTACTGGAAGAGCTGCATTAGTCGTTTGACCATAGTCGATTTCATTAGTTAGATCTATTAGTTCAGACTAAGGAAGACTTAGATAATTCCTGTTGGCCTGCATGAGTCAGCCTTCATCATTGTTACTATTAATTAGTGAATAGCAGTTAAATACATCAAACGAATTTCTCCTCATTTCCGGTTCATTGACTTATTGAGTCTTATTTATTCGAAAATTTAAAATCTAGTACCACTGTCTTGAACGTTAATAGTTTAGTAATCAGGTTATCGTGTCATAATAACCTCTTTTTGTTTGACACCTGTAAGTTATCACTATAAAGTGAAATTTCTCTTTGCTCATTTACAAGATAGAATCGATTAACTCATTTAAACGCATGTTATATCACCCAATGCCCACAAAAAACGTGAAATGCATCTTGAAGAGATAAATTCATTCTCAGAAGTTCGATTCGATGCAGTGCAGTGCATGCACCTTAAGCTAATGAGTTGTGAATGGCACAAATACGGGATCTGGACTACACAAATGCCCCTCACTAGTTCGCACAACAACGTAGTCAACAATATTATCAAAAAACCTCTTAAAATGATGACTCATATATTGGTTTGGTCACGAGAGTACAAGCAATTCCATGTTGTCTAGTCCTGAGTGCAGACCGAATCCTATCGATCATTTTGCAATGTGGCAACCTAGCTAAGAAGCTCAGCATCGTGGTGCACATTAGTAGATGTTAGTTGGTTGGAGACAATCGGCAGAAAGCCCTGGACCTAGGTATCATGCTTTTGGCACTCGTTAGCAAGGCGTATCTGTAACCTAAACGAAACTAATGTCCCGCCTGAGATTCGAAACCGCATCACCCAGTGTTGTGGTGAGCGACTTTACCACTGAGCTATTCGGGCCGCGATTGACCTCCTGTAGAACTAGCTTACATGTACTGATTGGTCAATATGTCTAGTCCTGAAACATGTAATTCAGACACCTAACGTGAAAGTTAATAATGCACATGTTATATTTTGTTTCAGGGTAGAAGGGCATTAAGTGGAATAGCATATCATAACTAAAACAGTTTATATGTGCCTACCAAAGTTTACTATTTTACAACTACTTTGTTATTTATCATCTGATGTTTTACTAAAATTGATGATCGTTCAGCCCGAAGTATCCACGCACAAATCCAAAACAAATGTAAATCGAAACGATAATAATTGTCGGTAAGTTTTTCAAGTTAAAGTAGTTTATAGTTTTTAATATCAAATTATTTTGGTAGAACTGTGATGTCTTTGGTATTTAGTCTATTAAATATTGAAATTCAATGTAAGAAATGTAGTCAGTACCATCTAAACGCTAGTTTGGACTAATTTTTATTTAGTTTAAGAATTTAATTAATTAATTACACCAGATATCGGTTATATTTGTCTGATAGTCAGCTCCGTAATTCATACAAATGGAACCTGTATCTGATAGCATATTTTTGCATGATGCATAATATTTACTGCAATATTTAATTAAGAATTGTTCATAGTTAATCTAAACTATTTAGGTATTTTTTTTCTCTTCATACTCGTAAAATATCAGTAGGTGGGATAAAGCACTCGGAGCATTAATTCTTGAAATGACAGTCACTGTCCAAATGAAGATATTATATCTTTTGTATTTAGCTTATGTGTTCAATTAACTTATATGAACGTTGTTAATTATCAGTATAGCACTCCGATTATGGTGTCTTCATGTATATTAAACTCCTGCTGAAGTCTTAAGATTTGAGTTCTATCTCTAAGAGAAATCATCATTCATTATAGTGGCTATTTGAATAGACAATAGCGTAGAGATAGTTATAAATGTCACACTGCCTCCATCACTTGAAATGGACGGTCAATTACAAAACTAAGATATAGGGTTACTGCGAATCTTTATTTTGAGGAGGTTCAATTTCAATATATTCAGCTGACTCATTGTTTATGCACACTTTATCTGGCTATAATATGTTTTGAATAATTTGATATGCTTTGAGAGTAAAAGGATCTGCTGAATGCTTTACTGAGCATTTTTCAAACAATTAAGTTCATATCTTTACAAAAAACAGATACATCTCAAGGTAAGCAGCACTTCAAGTACTGACTAGTTTAGTCTTCACCCTAGAATCATGAACCAAATCACTACGATACACTTCTGACTAAACAATAGGGTTAATTAGGAAATCTGTATGCTGTTTACCACTGGTCTACATGAAAAGTGAAAACTCATCGATACAGCCAGAGACGCGAACTAGTAAGATAGGATTGACAATAGTACCATGTTGCTGTTTTGCTTGTTTGGAGGTAAGTTGTTTTATGTGAATTATTTACAGCATTTAAACTTCAGCTATTCGCCTAGGCCGATACAGTCGAATCACGTGTTTACTGACTGCACAGCATACGGGAAGAATGATACAAGTAAGTGGGACCTATTTAAGAAAATTTCTAACGATTTGCTATTGAAATAAAAAAACAAATGATCTGCTTGATACCATAAATGCCATTGTGATTAAGAGCATGGAACTTTTGAACTATATACTTCTAGTTATCGTAATCAGTTGTAGATTACTGACACCAACCAACTGTGCTGAAGGCAATAGAAATATCCAAGAACGGATTACCCTTATTTTCACTACAAGACAACCTCGCCTGGTTAACTAGTTTACTAGTTACTAGCCGGTCCTAAGCCCGACCGGATAAAGAGGGAAGGTTGGGCATAGGGCTAGCAACCCTACCCCGTAAAACAAATCTAACCGCTAAAGAAACTTCAAAGCACAAATAAAATATAAAAAATGAAAACAAACTTATTCCCCGCTGGAATCGGAGAGGCGAAATGACGCCAGTTGGTGAAAGCCTTCGGGAAGCCAATTGGCCGATGTGTCTTCTCTCGATGAAAGCGAAAGTAAACGTGGGGACATGGAATGTCCGCACGATGTTTGAACCCAGTAAGGCAGCCCAGATTGCAAAGGAGATGAGAAGGTATAACATCGAAGTGCTTGGGATTTGCGAAAGCAGATGGAATGGGAGTGGACTCTCCAAACTGTCAACTGGAGAATCAATAATCTACTCCGGTCACCCAGACGCCAACCACGAGCACACTGAGGGAGTGGCTATCATGATGTCCTCAAGAGCATCGAAGGCTCTCATGCAGTGGGAACCAATCTCCTCCAGGATCATGACAGCAAGATTCAACTCAAAAGGAAGAAAGGTCACAATCATACAATGTTATGCACCTACAAATAATGCAGAGCAAGAGAAAAAGGAGGATTTCTACAGACAACTTCAATCAACACTGGACAAGACCTCAGTTGGCGATATCAAAATTCTAATGGGTGGCGACATGAATGCCAAACTGGGAGGGGACAACACAGGAAGAGAACTAACCATGGGTCGAGAGGCGCTAGGTGAAATGAATGAGAATGGAGAACTGTTTGCAGAATTCTGTGCATTCAACGATTTGGTGATTGGAGGCAGTGTGTTCAGGCACAAAGATATCCACAAAGCGACATGGATTTCACCAGATACCAGGACACACTAAAAATCAAATCGACTTTATCTCAATCTCAAGAAAATGGAGACGCAGTCTACTTAACACAAGGTCAAGAAGAGGAGCAGATGTAGGTTCAGACGACTATCTAGTGCAAGGAACCTACCTTCAAAATCAAGTTAAAAGCCTTCAAGGAAGCTGGTGATAGACCTCAATTCAAGTACAACACTCGGAAACTGAAGGATGAAACTACAAAGGAGATCTTCACGGCAGCCATCAAGACAAAATGGGAGACATCGAGGAACATCCCTGAAGAAACCTGTGTGGAAGAACACTGGAAGTCTTTGAAAGCTATGTGGAAAGAAACCTGCACAACAGTATTAGGAAGGAAGAAGGTGGAAGACAAGGAATGGATCTCGACGGATACCTGGAAGCTGATAGAGGAGAGGAGGATGGTGAAGCAGAAGATAAACCAGTGCAAGGATGCTCAACGACAAGATGAACTGAGCACAATGTATAAAACACTGGACAAAGAAGTGAAGAAGAGTGCACGCAAAGACAAAAGACACTTCTACGAAACACTGGCAAGTGAAGCAGAACAGGCTGCAGGTAAGAGAGACCTGACGACATTGTATCAAATAACCAGGTTGCTATCAGGGAAGAGACCAACACAGATGAGACCAATAAAAGATGAAGAAGGAAATTTAATTACAAAAGAAGAGAAACAGAGGAAACGATGGGCCGACCACTTCAAGAAGCTCTTGAATCGACCACCACCTGCACTTCGTCCAGAAATACCACCTGCAGCCGCTGAATTACAAGTGAACATTAAACCCCCAACGAAAATGGAAGTCCTGAACGCCATAAAGCTACTGAAATGCGGGAAAGCAGCAGGACCAGATGGAATACCGCCAGAAGCACTGAGAACAGATGCAGAGACAACAGCGGACATGCTCACACCACTATTGCAGAAGGTGTGGAAGGAAGAGAAGGTACCTGAAGATTGGAAGAATGGTTACCTTGTCAAACTGCCGAAGAAGGGAGACCTCAGTGCTTGCAAGAACTGGCGCGGAATCACTCTCCTGTCCACCCAGAGCAAGCAAAATATTAAGCCGCATCATCCTGGAGAGGCTTAAAGACGCACTGGATTCAAAACTGCGACCGGAACTGGCTGGCTGGATTCAGGAAGTACAAATCATGTGCAGACCAAATTGCAACGCTTCGCATCATCATAGAACAGAGCATAGAATGGCAATCACCTCTCCACCTCAACTTCATCGACTTTGAGAAGGCCTTTGACAGCGTCGACCGAGAAGTAATTTGGAAACTGCTTCAATACTACGGAGTACCGCAAACCTTTATCCGCCTCATTCAACAACTATATGAAGATGCCACATGCCAAGTAATCCACAATGGGAAGCTCAGTGATGCCTTTGAAGTGAAGACAGGAGTGAAACAAGGTTGCCTACTATCCCCCATGATATTCCTTATTGTGGTGGACTGGATCATGCAGCAAACAGTGGGGAGCGAGAAGAGGGGGATACGCTGGACGGCGGAAAAGAACTTAGAAGACTTGGATTTCGCCGATGACTTGTGCCTGATGTCACATAAACTTGAAGATCTGCAGGCAAAAACTAACAAGTTGATAGAAGAGGCAGCGAAGATGGGACTTCAGGTGAATTTAGAAAAGACAGAAGTGATGAAGATACCGCACCACCACCATCAACAACAACAACAAACTCCAATCACGATCAACGGGAGAAACTTGAAGGAAGTAACCTCCTTCACTTATCTAGGAAGCACTGTTTCAACTACAGGCGGGACGGACGAGGACGTCAAAGTCAGAATCGGAAAAGCAAGAGAGGCGTTCATTGGCCTGAAACCAGTGTGGAGATCTTCTGCACTCAGCATGTGGAACAAGATACGGATTTTCAACACCAACGTCAGTCAAGTCAGTGCTTCTGTATGGTTCAGAGACTTGGCGCGTCACGAAAGGTATTTCCAATAAACTACAGACATTCATCAACAACTGCTTACGCTCGCTGCTGAAGATCAGATGGCCAGAAAAAATAAGCAACAAGGAACTCTGGGAACGAACCAACCAAGAAGCTATCACGCAACAAATATGCAGGAAGAAGTGGAGATGGATTGGCCATGCACTGAGAAGGCCGACTGGGGACATCACGCGTCAGGCCAGGCCCTCGAGTGGAATCCCCATGGGAAGCGACGAGTTGGACGTCCGAAGGTGACATGGAGGAGGTCGTGTGAGAGGAAATGAGAGCTTGTGGGCTGTCGTGGGACCAGGTTCAAAAGATCTCAGAGAACAGAGGTCACTGGAGGCGTGCTACTGAAGCCCTATGTTCCACTAGGAACCCAAGGGACTAATAATAATAATAATCACTACAAGACGGACCTAAATTAAAGTTTTAAGTGGATGTTTTATTTAACCACATCATTCTCACTTCATGCGTTGCAATTTGCCAAGATCTGTTTTGAGCACACCTTAAACTGTCTTTTAACACTCGGTTGGAAGGTGGACTGTTAACATTATTGAGCTGAAGATTTTGTTTCCGTCTTATTTTAACAACTTCTATCCGGTCTCCCTCTGACAAACACGAAAATGTCATCAGACTAAACCTTTTGTAGAGCTTATCGACAAGATACCTTCCAAACTGAAGAAGAAATGTTGACTATCAAAACAACTTGTAAA